AATTTTTTCAATAAAGAAAACACTAAACATATTTACTTTTTTGTCTAGGCTAAACGTATTTACTTGTGAAAATATATACAAATATATATATATATATATATATATATATATAGGGGTTGGTTCAAGTAAAAAGTAGTCTTCCCATGAAAAGTAAGAACAAATCTTGGTCTTTGATCACTTGAAAATGGATGGATTAGATGAACTTTAAATACAAGAGTCGGTTTTAAAAAATGTGCAAATATTTATTATATAAAGTGGATAGTTACTGATTAAAAGTGCACTCATGCGTGTTAAAAAAGCTTGTAAAAATTTTCTAACTTTTGCACTTTTTATTTTGTACTGTATTGCACTTTTGTGCTCTACGTTTGCACTTTTTGACTATTCTGATACACATTTGTCACAATATTTTCAATAAAAGTTCTTCATAATTACCAAAATGCCACCGCGTTTTTCACTTAAAATTTGATCTCTTCCATCCATTTTTTCACATCAATGGCCAAGATTAGTTCTTATTTTTCACCTAGGAAACACTTTTTATTTGATCCATACTCTATATATATATATATATATATATATATATGATATGAATTTCCATCCGAATAAGGTAAGCTACTTGAACATATATATACTCTGTACTTGATCAATAAAGTTTTAAATGTTTTCATATATGAACGTCTAATAGTATATATCAATTTCATTTTTAAGTTAAAGTATTGGATGAAATTACTACAGACGACCATTTTAGCTATTTTTTCGTTAATATTTTTTGATTTTATTTAAAAAGTACGTAGAATATTTTAAATCTAATATTTTTATAAATAAGCAAAACCAGCCAATACAACCACTTCAGGCAGAACTTCATAAAACATAGTCTATGTGTACGGATGACTATTTATTGTTGTGGTTCCAATTGCTTAATTTAATAACTATCCAAATCAATACGGAGTAAGAAATTGACTAATAGGTCATGAAAAACTTATCAAGTAAGGTGGATTCTATCCTACAATATTTTCTTTCCATATGGTGATACAATAAAAAATAAAATGTAGGTCATGAAAAACTTACCAAGTAAGGTGGATTCTATCCTACAATATTTTCTTTCCATATCAATATGCAATAAAAAATAGAATGTAGGTCATGAAAAACTTACCAAGTAAGGTAGATTCTATCCTACAATATTTTCTTTCCATATCAATATGCAATAAAAAATAGAATGTATTTAAAAAAAATAAAAGGTATAAAAAGTAATTAAGTAATTGTTATATATGATGACATGTCAGAATTATGTGGCACGCCGTATGCTCTTAAAAAGTTCCTCTTATATATATATATATTGATTACTGATGCGTATTTTTTATTATAAATTAATTGATTAATAAACTAAGTGATTAAGACTTAATAAATACTACGTATATCCCAGGGTGATATAGCATAAAACACGGTAAACAACCGTTATTATCAACTATTTATCATACATTCATACTGCGTTGGTCAGGAGGTCTCCATTCTCTGTTGCAGGCGCGGGTTCGAATCTGTGTGACGACGTATTTTTCGGGTTCTCGCCATTTTTCGAGTTTTAAACGGTTCGGTATTTTTCGGGTTCTCGCCATTTTTCGAGATTTGAACGGTTCGGTTCCGTCCTGGGTTCCTAGTATTTCTCTTAAATACCGATCCATGTATTGATCAGGTTTATTTTTAATGTGATTCAGCTAGGGCTGGGTCCGAAAACCAAATCAAATCATACCGAAACGAAGCCGAATAAAACGAACCACTATCAAACCGAAACCGAATGTAAAAAACCGAACCGTAGTTGTTTGGTTCGGTTTTGGTTTTTACCCTTCAAAACCGAACCGAACAAACCGAAATAATTAAATTATAAAATTTATTTGTCAATTGTTAAGCATTAATCCTAAGTAATCATAATATCTTTAATAGTCTTTGGTTTTCTTGTGCTAGACAAATAATGTTTGTGTTATGTTTAATTTCGTTTATGAATTCATTTACACATTCAGTGCCTGTAATAATGTAGCTAAACTGATAATACTCCGTATGTTTTTTACTAGTTATTAGTATTAATTAACTTTTATTTTTATTGAACTTAAAGAATTCATATTGATGAAACAATAAATATTCATCTCAACTATATCACATAGAACGTATATACCCATGAACTTTTTTTGAACTAGTCACAACAATGTAAATTAATAATATATATACTTTTATCTCTCTCGCATACTCATATAATTTGTGACATATTTACTTATTTTCATTTTTATTTTATTTGTTGTAGTGTTCTTGCATTCTTTATGTAAGATATGTTTGATCCCTCAAAGTATTATACTACGTATCAATTTTAAATCAAATGATTTTTTTTTGGTAAAAAACCGAAAAAACCAAAACCGAATCAAAACAAACCGAACCAATCAAACCGTGGTTCCAAGTTTTGAAGTGTAAAAACGAACCGAAACCGAACTTTTTACTTTGATTCTATATTTGGTTTTAGGTCAAAACCGAACCGCAAGAACCAAACTCACCCCTAGATTCAGCAAATTCTTTAATTCCATAGATCGTGCTAAATTGGCAGACATAAAACGAGACTCCAATCGTTCCCAAATTTCAAATGAATGTTTCAAATCACGAACATCGATAAGTACATCCTGAGATAGGGTGGCAAATAACCATGAACGGGTTGTTTGATCAATTCGTAACCAAGTTGAAAATTCGGGATTTAGAGTTTGACGATTAAGCACATCTATGGAATAAGCAGGAGGTACCTCAATAGAGCCATCTACCATGCCGAGGAGTGCCTGTGAGACCAAAAGGGACTCAAACTGCGTGCGCCAGGTTGTATAATCCTCCACTGCCAAAAGCTTTGTAGTCACAATATTTGTGACATTAGTCGCCACGTGAGAAATAGCTATATATAGTTTGGGCAAGTTCAGTCGGGGGTGAGGACCCTTATTGGACGAGTAGAAGAAACAATTGAGGAGACAGCGGGTGACCCAATAAAGGTAGGACCCCGAACGTAGGTGCCGAGAATGGTGGTGGATCATGCTCGGGTGTTACCCTAGTTTATTATAAAACCAACATACCTAAAAACTGCATGCTTCATTCAAAATTTTAAAATCATTTTTTAAAATTTTCTTTTAATAACACACATAACACACGTGCACAAACCATTAATTAACTTAATCATTCAATTCGTATTACTACTATCCAAAACTTTTCATAATAATGATAGTTATAATTAGATGTTCTGTAACATTATATCCAAAATTTATTAATATAATGTCCCAAAATTTATTACTCCCTCTGTCCCGTTGGGATGTTCCCGCTTTCCTTTTTTGGATGTCACAAAAAGAACTTCTCATTTCCCTAAATGGAAAGTTATCCTACATCAAAACAGTGTCAAACAGTGCAAAACAGTGTCAAACAGTGTCAAACAGTGTCCAAACAGTGTCAAAAAAGTAAAATTTTCCCCTGGTAAGTTTATTTCTTTAATATGTGTGTAGGTCAAACCGGGAACATCCCAATTGGAGGGAGGGAGTAAAATTTATTATCATGTTGAACATTTGAGTCCATTTCTGAAAAAAATTTCAACACTACTGCGTATATATATATACTTCCTCCGTTCCTTTTTAATTGCAACAGTCAACATTTCACGTTAGCCAATGCACAAGTTTGACCATTAATATCTTTTATTCCTTATTAGTAAAAAAATTAAAAAAATCATATTTTGAAAATTTAGAATGAGAAGAATTTAACAATATTTTTTAAAAATTTAATTTATTATATATCAATTAATAAAATGTAGTCAAAGTAGAACATGTGAATAGTGTAAAAAGTCCAATGTTGCAACTAAAAGAGAACGGAGGTAGTATGTGATACGAGTACGTACTACTAAGTACACCCCAACGAACTCAAACTAACTAATCCTATCATGGACAATCCAAATTGCCAGAGACGGTCTCCTTCACCGGATATCCAAGAAATGGGGCATCATCAGGTATTGGGTGGTTCTGGGCATACTACTCCGGCGCCCGTAGGGAATGAAACACAGTTGGATCAAGATTCCGATTACACTCCGGCGCCCCTGCATGTAGGGGATATAGAACAGTTGGGTGGTTCTGGGCATACTACTCCGGCGCCCGTAGGGAATGAGGGACAGTTGAGTCAAGATTCCGGTTATTCTTCGGCGCCCCTGCATGTAGGGGATGAAGGACATTTGGATCAAGATTCCGGTTATTCTCCGGCAGATAAAAAAGACGAAGGACAACTACAACCAGTGGGTCAAGATAATCATCAGCACTCTCCGGCAATGGCTCATCCGTCTCCGACCTGGAGGTGGCCCAGCAGAAGACGGACTGTGAGAGTTCCGGTCATTCCGGAGTTGCCATTGCCGCAGTTGCCCAGTTCTCCGCCGACCGGTCCAAACTTGCCATTGGAGTCGCCGCCGACCGGTCCAAACTTGCCATTGGAGTCGCCGCCGACCGGTCCAAACTTGCCATTGGATTCGCCGCCGACCGGTCCAAACTTGCCATTGGAGTCGCCGCCGACCGGTCCAAACCTGCCATTGGAGTCGCCGCCGACCGGTCCAAACTTGCCATTGGAGTCGCCGCCGACCGGTCCAAACTTGCCATTGGAGTCGCCGCCGACCGGTCCAAACTTGCCATTGGAGTCGCCGCCGACCGGGTCTCCGCCGAACAGTCCGAACTTGCCATCGGAGACTCCGCCGTCCGAGTCTCTGCCGACCAGTCCGGAATGGGCGCCGCCTTCCAGTCCTGATTCTGCTTCCAGTGTTGAGTTAATTGATCCGGGAGCAGGCCCGAGACGGTCCCACAGAATTGCTCAGAAGCAGGGGCGGGTGTAGGCCCAACATGTCGAAGGATTGGGCCAAGTAAAAAGATTTGGTTAATGCGGCCCACGATATAGAAAAAAAAAAGAAATGTAGAGATATATAGATACTACGTATATAGCTTTAAATGTGAAAATTGCTGTACTGAACCTTTATGTTTTCTTTTTTGCTGATTTTGAACCAATTTCATTTGTCACAACAAGCCCACTATTTTTTCACTTTTAAGTTTCAACTGAATCAAACTCAACCTAATCTTGTAAAGCTATGACGGACGGAGGTGGAGCTTCTGTTCCGGTAAGTCTAGTTATAGAAGCCGACTTTGTATTAATCCTAGTGATATCTACTTGCATGATTATATATTGTGAGAGGTTAACATACGAAGTAATGATAATTGGTGTATTAATTTCATACACTCGTGAATACGGTTCGCTACTTAGAACCTTCAGAGAATTACATCTGGTGCGTAAGTGTGTTTGTGTTTGTTAATCAGATTCAGTGAAACTATGAATATGTGCTGTGATGTTTATGTTAGCTTCATTTTTATATGCTACCTATTAATGATTATGGTAAATTTTATAACCTGTAGATGAGATGTATATCTCTGTTTTGTACTATATTATTGAAATATGTACTTACTGAATATTACTCTGTATTTTATGCTGTTTTTATTTTCTTTTGTTTTTTTGTTTGTTTTTGTTGTTTTTAATTTGTTGCTTTTTGTTGTATCGTGTTTTTTTGTTGCTTTTTTTGTAACATGTTTCTTTTTGTTGATTTTTTTTTTTTTGTTTTTGATTTGTTGATTTTTGTTGTATGCTGTTTCTTTTTATAGGACCATGTTGATTCATGTTGATCATTTTCAACTATTAATTTTTATTATTGCTTATTTTTATTATGATTCCATGGCTGTGTGTAAGCACACATATCTATAATGATAAAGTTGCACCCAGGATTGTTGTTTATGCAAAGTACAAGTGGATTCATTGCAACATATTTTCTTTAAATGTCCATTCATGAAGGAAATGTCACAGAGGGTTGGCTGGTCATTGTCTGAGACTTAAAAAGCATACTTCTACAATGTTCACTTCAGTCAAAATGCGGCTTAAACAATACCAAGGTGCCCAAAAGATACTGTATGCATTGTTTACATAATTTGGAAGGCTAGGAATGAGGTTATTCTAGCTTACTCGTAAGGTGATCTGTGTTGATAGTGTGCTTTTGCAGATTAAACTCTAGGTTTTCAAGGTGCTGTTTAGACTATCCTACCAATTTTATTGATTTTTATGGTGATGCCTTTGTTGTTTTCTTATTTATCTGGTGTTACCTTGGGAGTTTTGTATGGTACTCATCTGCAAATTGTTGACTAGTGATTCTCATTTTGCTTTGGTGATAGAGGGGGAAGTGATTGCGGAGTGCATGATGCTGTCGTTTTTGTTTGAAATTTCAGTAATTCTTTTTTTTTGTTCCAGTAATTGTCTGTGTAACTATGGGTTTACTAAATTATACTATAACTATAATCACTATTTATTTTTTTATATACTTCGTATATTGCAGTTTTTTTTCTTTCAGATTTGGGCTTTTCTGTTCATTTCTGGCATTCCATTTCTGCAGATTTTTCTTCATTTCACAGATGTTTTGGACTGCTTATTTGTATTAATTTTTCCTATTGCTTTAAATAAGAAAAATTAAAAACAACATTGACTTTGATTTCTCTCTCACTATAAAGACAATACGTAAGCACCAAACCTTACTGGAATTGGGATCCCCAGTCGACCGAAACCTGTTAATAGGAGGCCAGTCCCAGGCCGTTATATTTTTTCCCAGAGAGCAGCACCAAACACGCCCAGATCCACCCCCAAATGGTTAGTAATTAAAACAACAACACATTTTAAGAAATAATCGGTTAAATATAGTGATATCCCTTTTCTGTCTTGTGTAACAACAAAACATTGACCTCATTTTTAGTATGACAACCTCAACAAAGTGTTCAATCTGTGCCCGAGCTTGTCACCTGTTTCTTGATCTCTTCAACCTTCAAAGCCAACTCGTCTCTGCTATCCTTGGTGGAAGTAATTGGTCTCGGACTGCTTATATGCCTTTTATGCAGATATCTTTGCAGTTTTTATTGTGCTTTTCATAGCAGTTTTTTGTGCCTATTTTATTATGTTTTCTCCATTTGATTGGCAGGCCGCATCTTCCTAGACAACATTTTTGCATGATAGACCATTTTTAATGCACGAAATCAGAATGCTATTGCTGCAGATTTGTTGAGTTTTTCGGAGCAATTTTTCATGTAGCAATTAAGGCAGCTTTTTGCGGCATATTTTTTTCTGTGTATTTCATAGCACTTTCTTGCATATTTTAATTGTTTTTCAATCAGTGATATTAACATAGACTCTGCATTTATTGTAGAGAATTTATGCATTATTGGGCAGTTTTTTCCCCATTTTTCATTCCATAAACCTCGCTAGGTGTCAATAGTAACTACCTAGTTGCTGAGGTAGTTTCATTTTAACACAAAGGTTTTCTTATTTTCATTGGAAAGTGTAGAGGGATTCTTACTTTAATTTTTTAACATAAAATATTCTGGTGCAAGTATATATTGCAAATTTCGTTCATTTAATTATTTTTATTTTATTTCCTGTCACTTGTTTGATTGGAGAGAAAGGAAGGGGAGATAACTGCAGGAGGTATGAGTTCCTTAAAAAACAGTATGTATTTCAAACCTATGAAGTTTCTTCATAAACGAAGGTTTCTTCTTCAGCTTCGAGGCAGAAGACAAATCTGTATTCTGTAGTCATGTTCAACAATTAATTTCTTAAGGGTAAACTTGATTCATCATACATCACAAGTAATTTTGATTTTAGGTTGATGTACATCATATGAACTGTGTCATATACTTATATGCGTAACTACTCATTGATTTGATGATTCTATTAGCTACTCGTTTTAGCAAGATTCAATCATATAATTGAACAACTTATGTACTATGATACTATTGCTACTTTTTTTTGTATTTTACTGGCATGTTGCTGCGGCTGAACTATGCTTGAAAAAATCTTTTATTTTCTCTCTATGGATTGTGAGATCGAAGAGAATCTAGATATGGAGTTTTCATAGAATCATGATATACATGGTACCATCATTCTCAATTTGTAAGGATTCATTATTCACTTATTTGATTCATATGCATATGTATATCATATGCACTCAATTCATAATAATTTATTATGACAATATAATCTCTCGACTTGTATATGCTGATATAATACATAATTTTTTTAGACAATCTTAGCGGGCGGGCGGAGTAATAAAGAAGGTTGTATTTACCATCTAATTACAACTAATTGTCTCCTACAACTTTTATGCTAGAGGAATCAGATCTCCAAAGTGACATATCCCCAAACTCTGGACAAATATAGATGTTGGGACTAAGAAGTCAGGAAGAAGAAAATAAAATCATTTCTCTACACTAGAGATGTGTCCGTGCATGCTATGGTTTGTGGCTGAACTCGTGATCAAGAAGACGAAGGCACGCTCTATGTCAGGTAGCCGTTCTACTTATATTTAGCCGTGACTTTATATATTATTCTATATATCTTCTAAGCTAGCTTCAAATCGACCACAGCCCCTCAGTCCTTGGCATAGGTTGCTTAAATTTAACTGATAAAGTTACATTTTTGTTTGATCTTTTTTGTGTTTTGGAGCTTATGTGAATCTGATGCAAATGAGTTTTAGCTTATTTTGCAGGATGCAAATGGACGCTTGCGTCTATCTTGGCAATCTGGTAAGCAAGGTTTTTCTTACTCAAAATGGAGTGGGAAGCGGTGAGCAGCAACATGGTGGTGAACATATTTCTGTTGAGCGTTTTCGATGCTCTGAGTGCAAGGTCGTTTAAGCAGCAGAGGGATATCAATGCGTTGGGGACAGAACTCTAATGTTAAATCGAACAAGGAAATTAGGAAGACCATGCGGGAATGGAGACAGCAGCCCCTAATGCCCTAGCCTTCCCTTCGATGGAAATGGGAAAATGCCAATTCAAGAATTATTATTTGAAGGTTGGGTTTGGGTGAATTCAGGTAACACGAGTACAGAGCTACTACTTTTAGTAGTGTTTCTGTTGGATTATTATTACTTAAGGTATAACGGATCTCTGTCACATTTTTTAATGGCATAGTAGAAAATAATATAACAGCATGGGCTCATGGAACAAGTAAATGTTGCCTCTATTGTTCTTGGAGTGTCGTCATGTAACATGGAGATGTAAATGCTAGAATTATTATAAATTTAATAACACCATCTTATGATATGCTTTTATATTCGGGAGCAAAAAACATGCTTCCTAGTTTATGTTTCCTAGTTTATTTTGTCTTCCATTATGGTTTGATTTGAGGGTTATTTAAACCCCTACTTAGGGCTGTTCGAAACATGCATATTGGAATTTTCAGATATTAAGTTGGGCAATGGTTTCTTCCGTTGATTGTTAATTTTCTGTTTTCAACATTTATTGAGTTATTAAATGAACCGTTGATTGTTAATTTTCTGTTTTCAACATTTATTGAGTTATTAAATGAAAAATTAGCTTCTTTTTATGAATTTTGCTCTTTTAGCATATATGATTGTACAGTTGAGTGAAGTTACGTGAATTTTGCAGGCTTTCATGATGTGGTTCATATCAAATTAAGCAAAGTTCTGCACAGAATTCTCTTCAGGTGCGCTTCTAATATCTTCTATTCCTATCTCAAAAGAAAAGTCATGTAAAAAACTTCAGATTGTACTTTTTGTTGTCGATGACTAGGAGAGTATTGCAGCAAATGTGAAACAATTTCCTTGAGTAAATAGGACTGATTTTTTAAACATTGATCCTATTTCTGAAATATGTGGCATTTTAAATTGTTGAATAATGTAAATGGATTGTGCAGTTTAAGTGCAGCCACACCATTATGTGAGTTATGTTTTATTATTCATTTAACGAGGAATTGTTTTAATTTCAGGTGTTTCAAGATTTCTGACTAAACATGGAAGGAGAAAGAAGCTTAGGACAACAATGTAATTACTCGCAGTTAGTATTTTGTTAGTACGGAGTATAAGCTAATGAGCTATTCCGATGGTAAGAAAATGTGTTGGTGTTGGTCTATACCGACGACACGTATACCAGCACATAAATTTATGTCGGAATTGCATACGTGGTATATTTTTGTTGGTATAGCTAAATGGTGTCTATACCAACATTTGTTATACCTATACTAACAGTTTTGTTACCGTTGATATAGGGCAATTTGTTTGTAGTGAACATTTCTTGCTTCTTGGATGACCAAGGCTCATAGGAAACTCGGAAAGTATTAGGTAAAGAAAAAAGGGAGCAGAACATGAGAGAGAGAGAGAGAAAGTTTGAAGGAAACAAAGTATGTGGGGAAATAAAAATAAAGTTGTTTAAAGTCAACAAATTTATTCAAGCTCTATAGATTTAGAGTTGCTTTGGTAGCACGAAAATTGGCTGATTTGGCTGTTTCGTCTAAAATTTATGAATTTTTGGATGAAGTGGTTGCATTGTCCGATTCTGCTAATTTAAGAATAAATTATTTTTAAAATATATTTTATTAATAAAATGAAGAAAAAATTATAATATGCTCTTTCTTTAATTCTTGCAAAAATTTGAGTTTCACGTTTGCCAATGCACAACTTTGACTGTAATCATATTTAATTATGTACTCCGTATTAGTAAACATTATAAAAGTTGATATTTTGGAAATTCACATTGATAGGAATTCAATAACATTTTATACGTACTCCGTAATAATTTGATTATGTATATTAGTAGAAAATCGTGGTCAAAGTAAAGTCTGTGAATACTGTAAAAATCTCAATGTTACAAGAATTAAAGACGGAGGAAGTATGTAAAAATAACTAAAATGGTCATCTATAGTAACTTCAGTCAATGTAGTCAGAAAAGTAACTCTAATCTTACTTTTTCTGTTTATTACACAACTCAACGCGCGAAAACAAAAGTTACGTGGAAAAAATTGGCTGATAAGCCGAAAAGCAGTGTTTCCAAATGGTCTAAGTTTTTATTATTTTATATATGTTCACGCATGTTATGTATTCATTTCTATGAAAAAAAACAAATTGATTCTTATACGGAGTATGCATTTTCCTAAGTAAAACCAAATTCAACAAAATAAGTAGCAATTCTTTTCTTATTCCCTAGCACTTTCAGTAATCCAAACATACCACAAGTGAAAATGGTGTCAGACTCTTAATGCAGAGGATGGATAAAGAGCCAGGTAGCACGTAACTCATGATTTTTTTTGGATGAAATGTAAATATAAAGGCGTGTTGGTTCTGTTTGGACTGAGGGTTTTGGAGGAGAGAAGATTTCGGCTTTGGAAGGCAAAGTCTATATCTTGAGATTTCATAAAATTGAAGGGAAAACGTAATACATGCATTTCAGCCACCCTGTATTGGGTAAGTAAAACCTTCTATTCATCAAGAACTAAGCACTGTAGAACCTTCCCCACCAAAGCACTGTGGCCCACAGCCTGTGCGTGAGATTCAAGACTAAATATAGATCACAATTCACAACATCAACATGCCAGAGTGGAGAAAATTGTAGAGCCAAATCCCTACTGAAGCATGCATGCAACATACCCTATGACCATAACAATATCTGCAAAAAGGAAACTGCATATTATGGACCAAGTTTTGAATAAAATCCTTGCATAGAGAGCCCCATTTATTTACATCATCTGGGGGATCCCAATCTACAGTTGAGACTTGAGACGGAACTTTGCTCGTACTCACAATCCTATTGATCATGTTATTACTATTCATTCGGTTATTTAAAAAGAAAACCGAACCGAAAATTTGCTTCCCGAATAATTGGTTTCCGACCAAATTTGGTTCGGTTAACAAAATTAAGGAAACCAAAAAATCGGTTTGGGTTCGGGTATTTCCCATTTCGTTTCGGGAACCGAACCGAATCTAGCCCTATCCAAAAGGCAAAATCACAGGAAATATGGTCGGCAAAATTAGGGGCGTCTACGGAGACTTGGAGGCCCAAGGTGGCAGACATGATTGTTTTGGCGAAAAAAATCTATCTAAATTAAGCACGTATATCAGTTTTCATGACAAATTTTCCTTTCAAAAAAATACCTATGATAAATTTTCAAAATAAAATCTTTGCAACAAAGTTACACATTTTCAAGTAGATTATTATGCTTAACGAACGTTTTAAAGCTAAATTGTTAAAGTTAAGGGAAAAGACGTGTTTCTATTACATTGATTTTTTTTTAAAAAAAGATCTGATTTTTACAAACTGCTAATACAAAATCTGGTTGGAGAATGGAAATCTTTTGTTTCTCTCGTCACTATCGCACAAGCAAACTCAGAAAACTAGGATGGATATCCTTTCATTTATCTTGCCAAAAATCAATATGTTTACTCTTTTCATTTGAATTTTCACCTTTTCTTCAGCACTCAGAGTCCCACACCGGATTGCCCCCTTGACTACAAACGATGAGTATGTGGCCAATCAAGCCTATCGGCGATGAGTGGCTGCTACACAGTCCAATATTCAATTAATTTTGATCATGTTATTATTATGGGAAATTATCACCCACCACCCCTGAGGTTTAAGGATATATCAATTACACCCCTATAGTATTAAAAATATGCAAAAACCTCCCTCTATCATTGACAGTGTCCACAGACCCTCACTTACCCATGTTCACCATGGAAGTGCTTATTGATATTACGCATACTAAGCTAGTAGATGTAGCAAATACGGAGTAGCTAGAACTGCTACAAATCTCTTTCAGGCATGACTTTTAGTTGATTAGTGTGATTCATTATCTCAATTTGTTAGAATCTCATAATTATGTTTTCTCCTTTTGCTAAATTATGTTATCCCCTTTTGGCTAATGAATTCTATTTCGTATTTGAGATTTTGAGAGGCCAATCATGCTTTTGCGGCTCTTATTTTTCTATAATGTCTCTAATACCTCTAGGTTAGAGATAATGAGCAACGACACTTTGCATTTGTTAAAGGATAAATGTCTTTTTTAGGATTGAGACCTTTTAATTAATTGCAAAATTTGTCATTTCTTTTTCAGTTTTTTGATTGAGAATGATTCTTTTTGTTATTTGTGATGATGAGGAATTAGTAGTCATTTTTGGCATCATATTCTGGATTTTTGAGTTAGTTCGTGAAAGATAACTAGGTTAGTCAAAACAAGAGTGACATAAAACAGAGGAGCTGAAGTCTTGAATTGCCTAAGTTTATAGACCAGGTAGTGTATTTGTCAATAACTAATATGGAGTATGTTTTTTGCTAGTAAGTACTACAAAAAGCGCTAATCCCATGGAAACTCTCTTGATTGGGACCTGGTTGTCATGCTGTGACGCCTTTTGTTCTTTTGAGACTTTCTGTAGATTTTTAGTTGCGTGTTCAAGTTCTTGGTTGGCAGACAATTTTCTGAGGTTATGAAATTAGCTTTGTGGCAAATTGCGGCATTGAATTTGGATCTCCTAATTTCTTCTGGGTATGAAATAGGAGGACGGCGATCGCTCTCGGTTGCATGTCCCAAGAAGTCATCTGAATAGAGCGAGTCATCAGAATGATCAAAATCTTCAGAAGCGTCAGAGTAGGCCTGAATCAATGGCAACTGAGGTCCTTTCTCACAAGAGAAGACATGGTTTCTTTTGGAATTTGCTGCCTGAATTTGAGAATTAAAAATCAGTTTAGATATGGATGTGGGGTCCTCGGTTTGTAACACACTCTCATGTTGCAGAAATATAGAGTCATCCTGCACTGGCTTTGAGTATCCTACAAAATTAGCAAAAACATTAACAAATTTAAACAGACTTGAATTATGGGGTCCCATGGGTATCTGAATGTAGCTCCCATTATACTTTGCCATTTTGACATGGTAGCCCGATCTGTTAATTTCCATGGAAATTGTGATATCTTCAAATCTCTTTTTTTCCTCCACATGGACCTGATCGGTGTTTGTGAGCTGGGAGATGAATCTGATGATCTGATGGGCAAGATCAAGTTTGAGGTGAATCTTATATAGAAGAGATCGATCTTCTAATTTGAAACAACACCAAATCTCTATTTTTCAATGCAAATTTGAAAGGTGTGTTCTCTATTCATTTTATGGTGGAGTACCCAAAGATCGGGCGTGTATCCTCAAAACTCGGTTATATAGGGTGGAGTACCCAAGGATCGGGCGTGTATCCTCAAAACTCGGTTATATAGGGTGGAGTACCCAAGCATCGGGCGTGTATCCTCAAAACTCGGTTATATAGGGTGGAGTACCCAAGGATCGGGTGTGTATCCTCAAAACTCATAGATTACTGTTTAGTAATTCAGGACCGAGTGGTGTCCTCATGTTAAGTTGATTTGAACCAGGAGGAGTTCTATACACTCATAGATATATGGGTGGGCTGGGGTTTAAGTCAAGGATATTGACTAATACTATTGTTGAGGTTTATTTCTTCAACCCTTGGACTCCAACACGTAAGCCCAAAGATTTCGAATGAATGTTGTATGTGACTACGTGATGCAAGCAAATTAGATGGGCTAAGAAATGTATGCAATAGTGAGCCGATTATTATTAAGTCTAATAACTCCTCGTTACATTGCACTATGCTAAGGCCTGCGGCCGTTTGTCTCACACTCAAGTAGAAGAGCTGCGAGTAATTAGCTAAGAGCTCAATGAATACTAGTAAGGTAAGGCGGGTAAGTTGTCAACACTTTACAATGCAGTAAATGCTACGGAGTACTATTTATACTACCAAGGGGCAGTTGAATATGCTGATTTGGAAAGTTGTAGATGGCTGAAGCCTCAAGTATATGCTCTAATTAACTTTTGTATATTCCGCCTAGGGTTCAAGTATATGTAGTACGGAATATGGTATGTTATACTCAAAACATGTGTGCTGGGTGGTTTCTAATTTATCATGCTAACTTTTGGATGGTTTTTCATTTAGCAATGGTTTTTGAGGTTAACACTCTTCCGTTAAAGTTAACACTCTCAAATAATATATGGAGGTTGTTGCATATTTTTAAAACTATAGGGGTGTAAGTGATAAAACGTTAAACCTCAGGGGAGGTGAATGATAATTTCCCTATTACTATTCATTCAATTATTTAAAAAGAAAACCGAACCGAAAATTCGCTTCCAGAATAATTGGTTTCCGACCAAATTTGGTTCGGTTAAAAAAATCAAGGAAACTGAAAAATCGGTTTGGGTTGGGGTATTTCCCATTTCGTTTCGGGAACCGAACCGAATCCAGCCCTAACCAAAAGGCAAAATCACAGGAAATATGGTCGGCAAAATTAGGGCCGTCTACGGAGACTTGGAAGCCCAAGGTGGCAGACATGATTGTTTTGGCGAAAAAAATCTATCTAAATTAAGCACGTATATCAATTTTCATACAGATGACAAATTTTCCTTTCAAAAAAACATTTTCAAAATAAAATCTGTGCAACAAAGTTATACATTTTCAAGTAGATTATTTTGCTTAACGAACGTTTTAAAGCTAAATTGTTAAAGTTAAGGGAAAAGACGTTTTTCTATTACAATGATTTTGTTTTAATAAAATATCTGATTTTTACAAACTGCTAATACTATCAGCTAATCAAAACAGCTAACCAGATCCGCTGTCATGAATCAGCCAACAACCAACAGCCAACGGTCAATTGCCAAACACTCCCAAATCATTTTATTTTCCAACTGAAATCGGCTGTATTTGTTGATTCTTCTGAAATGTATGAAGTTCTGGCTGAAGTGGATGTATTGGTTGATTCCGCTAATGTATGTAAAATAAAATAAAATATATTTTATTGATAAAATAAAGAAAAAATTATATGAAAAATAGCTAAAATGATCATTTACAGTAACTTCAGCCAATATAGTTAGAAAAGAAACTTCAATCACACTTTTTCTTATGTTACACAATTCAACGCACAAAATAAAAAATGATGTGTTTGATTTAAAAGTTGGCTAATAAGTTGAAAAAAATGTCAACAAACAGACTTAATATCTAAAATAAACAACTTCTCGATCAAATGTAGAACTAAATGTAAAGGTTTCTTAAAAAAATCACAAAGTACTGAACTAGCACATAGTTTCCCCAATTAAATAGATAGCTAACACATGTAATATACTATCGTACATAGTATTCTCTCACATTCATAAATTTTCAATTCCACCTAATTTTTGCTAGGAGACAAATGAAAAATTAATTAAAAGATGCGCTCCAAAACACATTTGCTCATCGGTCAAAGAAAAACATGCACTAATACAATGGTTAAAATGTCTATACTAAATTAGTAATACAAGTGAATTAAAAAATATATTCCGAGTAGTATTAATAGGACTTAGCTTCAAGAATATGATGAGGCCCTACTAAATTGAGAGGCCTTGTAGCAGCCTCTGCCGCAAAATCACAGGAAATATGGTCGGGCAACTGGGCAAGGACTTAGGATGTTATAAAATACAGAGACCAGATATTTACAGACTAGAACAGACCAGTTCAAAATAGATCAGACCAGACTAGGAAATTTCAGTCCAAATTTAAATACTAGGAGATCAGGTGAGGTGGAATAAATTACGGATCACATACCCCCAATTGTGGAGTGGACCAAAACAGTTCCTAATATCCTAGAATTTGTAATAATGTTGTGACTTGAAAGTTTGCAAACACAATATTATGGTCATAAATAAAGTGATTTAATAGGCAAAATCATCTGAAAGTTTTACTCCAGCACAGTGTATCCGAACATTATCCTCTCTAACATCACACAACTTTATATTATAAGCCTGCAAGAAAATGATTCTTTTTAAAAAATATTTTGTATATGAGAAATTGAGAATCATTACCAAAACATAGGTCACAAACGGAGACTAAGTATATTTTAATTTTTTGCAAATTAGTATATACTCCCTCCGTCCCATTTATATTGTCCCGGAAGAGGGTGACACGGTTATTAAGAAAAGTGGGTTTGTGTGATTGATATTAATTGATAAAGTAAGAATAAAGTAAGAATGATTTAGAGCCACACAAACTTTGCCAAATATGATATGGGACAATATAAGTGGGACTTCCCGAAAAGGTAAAACGGGACAAAATAAATGGGACGGAGGGAGTATTGTTTATTAGCGTTGTAAGCTATATGTAGGAATGTGTATTGAAGTCTTGAAGACGATGAAAATATTATTCCCCAGTAATATGAGAGTACATAGATGCTATATGTAGGAATGCAAACAGACAGCTATGACTAATGCTGATGGTGATGGTGTTGATGATGTTAATGGTGTTGATGATGTTAATGGTGATGGTCAGCAGTGGCGGATCCAGGAAAAATGGTTATTGGGGGCGTAATATTTTAAAACTAGCATCAAAATGGAACACTAGATCAATTAAACTCAAATGGGTTATGAAAATTATTTATACGAGGTATAATTTACTATGACATTCATTTTTTTAATTGCATGTGTTTGACTTTCACGTTTATCAATGCATAATTTTATAATTGTAAATATTATTATAAAAAGCTAGTATTTTTGAAATTTATATTAATAGAAATTTAATAATATTTTATACATAATAATTTGATTATATATCTTAGTAGAAAATTATGATAAAGTAACGTATGTGAATAGTGTATTTTATATTAATATATTGTATTTGATCTCTTACAAAAAAATCAGATGACCTAATAGCTAATACCTCTAACTTGAATTATGAGTTATATATTACGTCAAATAACGTTTTATACTTTTATCGATTAATATTCAAGTACCACCTAACTATTTACTAATAATTATTAACTAAATCCAAACTTTTTACACCATTTGTTTAATTATGCCTTTTCAGATATTTTCGTCTTAGTGTTATTCTAAAAGACATACTGTGTTATTAGTTTCTATAAATGTTATTCCCAATAATTCATATTTGTCCTACTAATACTAGCTTATCTCTTTTACTTTTCATCTTTGCATTACTTAAACTTCTTCGAATTTCAACAGTAGCTGAAGTTGTCGGGTTGATCTCCATTAACTCTCTTTCGTCACTATAATAGTAGTATGTTTTAAATATAATTAATTAAGATTTCTTAGTTTCACAGTAGTTGTCTCTAACTTAATTCATTTCTGACAAACCTATAATTCAACCTAATTCCTAATAATACATATACACCATCTCGTAGTACAAAAGGAGAATTTATTGGGGGCAAGATGAAAATTTATTGGGGGCAATTGCTTTTATTACAATAAAATTACACATTTTTCTATATTACTATACTATATTAGGAATGTTTTATTGGGGGCACGTGCCCCCACTACTTTGAGCATGGATCCGCCCCTGATGGTCAGTGGCGGAACGAGGAAATAATGTAAGCCGGGGCACAATTATATACGTAAATCATCAAATTAATAAAAACACTGTCTCAACAAATTGTACCAATAAAACATTACAAATTTAATACTCCCTCCGTTCCCAAAAATACTTCCCACTTTCCTTTTTGGGCCGTTCCCAAAAATTCTTCTCACTTTCCCTTTTTGGACAATTTGTGTGGTTCACATTCATTTTACCTTTTTCTTACACAACCACAACCACACATTTCCACTTTATTCCACTTTCTTAATAAGCGTGTCAATTCAAACCGGGAAGAATTTTTAGGAACGGAGGTAGTACCAAACTAACATTCTCAATTGCAATTCCCTAATAATAATTACCAGAAAAAAAATAATTAATTTAAACTATTATAAATTCATAATTTCTTACCAATAATACCTAATCGATTTAATTCAAACTATTTTAAAGTACATATTTTTCAAACCATATTTATGAATTGGGAAAATTTAATAATGAAATATGGAGCACCAAATATTTAATTTAATTAAAAAAGGAAAAGATGGGAAAACCTATCGGAAAGTCGGACAGCAGACGGCTGACGGCGGAAGGGCACAGGCGGTTGGCGTCGGCGAGCTGGATCCGGTGTGGCAGCGTGCTGCTTCGCTGCGCCTTGCGGTTCGATGGGTTGGTGACGTTTCAAATCTGGAGCTCAGTGCACTTGGGGCTGTTGGCTTGGTCTGCTTGCTTAATTTTGGTTATTGGGCCTGCCCTGGCTCAGTGGCCCAAAGATCAATTCTTTTTCCCAGGGGTTGAAACGATGTCGTATGAATTAAAAACAAAAACTCAGCCAACTTATTATACGATCATCCTCGTCGCCCTATCCTTCGAACTACAGTTGTTGGCCGGATAAAATGGAGAGCAACAGTCCGGCGCCCCCAAACCCTTTCCTATACCCTATCTCGTACGGCCGGAGCAGGGGCACCGGCCGGCCCCCCTGGCCCCCCTTGCAGATCCGCCCCTGACTGATGGTAATGGTGATGCTGATGCTGATGGTCATGAGTGGTAGTTATAATGATGATGACGGTGATGGTGAGAGTGATAGTGGTGATGATGATATGATGATTGTGATGCTAGTGGTGATATTGATGACAATGATTATAATTATGATGGTGATGATGTTGATGTTGATGTTGACGGTGATTATCATGATGATGGTGATGTGATGATGGTGCTCATGGTGATGAGTTATGCTGAGGATGGTGATGATATTGATGAATATGGTGAAGGTGAGGGTGATGGTGTTGTTGCTGATGAGTGATAATGGTGATGGTGACGATGATAATGGTGGTAATGGTGATGGTGATAGACTGGTAATGGTGGTGGGGGTAGTGGTGATGATAACAACAACATATTCAACATCCAATATAATAATAATAATAATAATAATAATAATAATAATCAACATTCAATCACACATTCACAAATATATTCAAAACAGAGCAGACTAGATTTGAAAAATTGAGATCAGATGAGAAAGATTACAAATCCGATTAGGTCACCTCCAAAAAATTCAGATCAGAACAAATTAGAAAAATTTAGATTAAATTAAACTAGACCTTAAAAAATTCATATCAAGAACAATATGATAATAGAACAACTTTTAGTCATATAAAATTTAATGAAACAAAATTATAATCATATAAAACTTAATCAGATATATTTGTAATAAAAACAAACTCTATCTAGCCACACATATATTTGAAATATAAATAAAAGTAGATTATAATAAAAATGTGATTTGTATAGTATAAAAATACAAATAAAAAGCTAAATAATACTCATTTGAAATATCTAATTTGGGATTTGGTTTGTTCAAAATATCCTACATAAATAACAAAAAAAATTGTAGACCGAAATCTACAATTCCGACTAATTAGGGCATCCACATCCATATACTATGTTAGGGATCATTTTGATGATGTGGAGGATTTTAATTTTTTGGGGATCATGGATGAGGAGTTGATATTATTTTATGAGATTATTTGATAAAATAATCTAGTATCGAATTCTAAAGCTGGTTTATTTTGAGATTATTTCCAACATGTAGACATTACTCATAATTACAATTCTCATGGCACTGGTATCGATATTTAAAGTATGTGGATACCGTTGCTATGCATTTACGAAGCATCCACTTGACTTCTAGAATTTTCGAAGTTTCCATTTTAAATAATTAAATTATTAGTATATCTAATCTTATTTTAAATGTTTCTAATTTACATATTGCTATTTATATAACGTGTCAATTTATTTAGCACTATTAGATATGCATGTTTAAATACATTAAGTGAAATATTAATAAAGAAAATACATTAATTTTAAGATTCAAAGAGTTTAATGAATTTAAATTTTAAATTTACAGGAAATTTATATTTAAGTTTAAAAAAATGGTACGAAAAAATGTAAATTTTAGTTTCGAATTTTAAATTATAACAGTTAGTTTCTAGTACATTTGTAATATTGAAGGAGACTAATAAATTTAAATTTTAAATTTAAACAAAATTTAAAATTTAAATTAAAAAAAAATAGCACACGAAAAATTTAAATTTTTGTTTTGAATTTTAAATTCTCTGGTTTCAAGATGAAGATCAATAATGATTCTTATATGCTTCGTAATTAAATTCTAATGTGTGAACAATGGTTTTATAATTATCTACGTGCTAAATTAAAACACATTAATTAAAACATTTTAAATGCATGAAAAACGCATTGTACTATATATATATATATATATATATATATATATATATATATATATATATCTTGGTAAATTGAGTGTATGTGGGTGTGTGAGTGCATTTAAGTTAGAGTTTTTGAAATTTAGTGTATGTCTAATAAAAAAACTAGGTAAATTAAGATCATGAATTGAATGAGGAGAAATTTATTAATTTGGAGATTATTTGAGATTATCTGAGTGACATGACAATAATAAACCATGAAAAACCGTATAGATGAAGATCATAAATGTTGATGCTCTAATTGGAGCCACGCACTAACTAAGGGGGTTTTAATATATAACACCTTTTTAGAAACCTTAAATTAACGGGGGTGTCCCCAATTAGAATTTTAAAGGATTTTAAAAGAGTAAGATTCTAATGGAGTTTAAAGGAATTGTATAGAATCTGTCAGATTCTAATCAATTCCATGGATATTGTAAAAGTTCCCTTGCTTCTGTCTCTCAGCATCTGACCGTAGTATACAGATTCATAGAACGGGGCATATTCTTACACCAAATACGAGAACAGGGCATCGGAAGTAGAACGGTGGAAGTGAACAGCGGCCTGCTATCCACCAACCCTAGCCACCACGAAGCCTCAGCACCCGGTTTTGCCGCTCGCCAGATCCGAAGCTAGAGCTCTCACCCTCGACTTCCCATTCCGGTGATGTAGCTGGCAAGCTAGACGGCTCCGGTTAGAGTCCTTGATTCTGGCTTTGTTTTGCTCTCGCCGCTCTGGTGAGTTCTCTTCTTCACGGCTTTGTTTTGCCGATCTTGAAGGGAAATCCGTGGAAATCCAAAGGGGGGAGGAGTGAGTTTCCTTGTGTTATTTCCTTTGTATTTTAGCTTTGGAAATCCATGGGAATCCTTAGCAATCCAGAGTTAAACAATCCACGGACATGTTGAAGACACCAGGATTTTAACAGACTCCCCACAAATCCAAATTCAGGACACCCAAATTCAGATGGAATTCTAAATTCCTTTAAAATCTGTTAGAATCCATATTGGGGACACCCCCTAAATTAACTCGCTTTTTGGCGCTGGATGTCACATTCTCCGAGTTTCGAGAGAGTGCTCAAAAATAAATTCCGTTATTTAGCACTAAATGTGAGCAACTCCCGTATTTCGAGAAAAGACCCTATATAATATTATGCTCCATCATTTTTCCTGGATCAATTGAGTTGAGAATTTGGGGATGGAAGTTGGCCAGGGGGAAACATGATGCTATATGTCATATTGAATGCAATGTGTGGAAGCCTCAGTTGTGTCAAACGGTAGGTTTCTGTTAGGGGTGGGCGCGGTCCGGAACGGTCCGGTAAATTGGTAAAACCCGTAATGTAACCGTGAGGTTTCTAACGGTCCGGTACGGTCCGGTTCTAAGGATGGAACCATGCATTCGGTACCATATTGTTTCGGAACGGTATAAAACGGTACGGTACAATATCAAACACATGCTAAAAAATTGGAAACATTTTGCAATTAGTAAATATCATCACACCAACCAATTCACATAAAATGTTACAAGAAATTGCTTACGTAGTACTATAATTCTACAATTCACAAATAATACAACACAACTAAAAAAACTATAGCAAAATGACGATAAACGAGATACATATCATCTTTAATTTACAAAGTTCATTTGAAAATATAAAAATAAAATGATCAAATTAATGAATATAACAGAAATAATCAATGTTCTTCATTGTTCTAGGTTAAGTATTAGTTCTTATTAAATTAATAGTTGAACCGCCGGAGCTAAGATTTAAACCATATTAATTAAGTTGTAAAATTGCACAAACGTGATACAACAAAAAGTTGTATACACTACATTACTAGAAATGAATAGTTATTAATGATTTTTAAAACTTTAACATTCTTTTAATACATACCAAAATATAATATAAATTATCTAAAACGAAAAAATTACAATATTATATATATATATATATATATATATATATATATATATATATATATATATATATATAAACACATTTAGCTATTTTAGTGACGCATGAATACATACTTGAGCTATAAAATTGTTGGTCTATAAAATAATTTATTGGTATGGGGAAAATATAAAAAATTTCAATGCATTATTTTTGAACGGTCCGGTTCGGTATTTTTCGGTACTCAAATTCTAGGACCGGTCCCGTACCCGTTTCAAACGGTGCGGTTTCGGTTCGGGGTAAAAATTTATAGAACCGTTTGAATACCCGGTATTCGGTTCGGTACCATTACGGGCCGGTTCAGTACCGTTTCGGTTCGGATTTTATGTGGGCCCACCCCTAGTTTCTATCTTGCAAAAGGGTTTAAGAGTTTCGGTTCTCAAATTGCAAGAAAAAGCCCATTTTCGACAAATTTTACCAAGGGTAATTGTATTTGCAGCCCGTAAATTGCTATACACAACCACTAAACAAGTGTAATATCTAAAATGCCCTTGTTATTCATAACCGCCGTTCCAAGATAACACTACGTCCGTCAATGGGGTTGTGAAACGTTCTCCCAGACAGCCATTAAAGGGCATATATTTATTATTTGCTCTAAATCGATGGCATCGAGTAGAGACAATGGCGGATATAGTATTTTCTAACTAGAACTGAAATCTCCACCTCCACCTAGAACTGAAATCGGGGTGGCCGCGATTCGTATTCGAAAAAATCAAACAAATACAAATACAAAATCTCATTATTCGACTCGATTCGGTTTGTTTACAACCCTACCTGTACACACCTTCGGCAATGCGAAGAGCCCGACACAATTCTTGGTGATCGGGTTGGCTATGTAAAAAAATTGAGAAGGTCAATGATATATGAAGATGATAGTTTCATGGTTTCAAAATTACACCTCAGAAGCCGAGCTGGTTGTGAGGTTATCGTGTCTAGTGAGAGATCTCGAGTTCGAAACCCGCTAGGCACATAGGGGTTGAAACTCAATGGAATGAGTTTCAGTCCTTATTACTCCAGGCTCCCCAGACACCCCTGGAGGGAAAAAAAAACCAAACAAAACATCTCTTCATCAGTTTCAATTTGGCGTTCCAGCTTTACACAGAAAAATACGAAATTGCTTTGAATGGGTGCACGGCAAAAAATTCATTATTAGAGGAAGAAGAACACCTTGGACTAGCAAAATCGGATACGTTGATGTGCTGGTTTGTTCCTTTAGTCCAGAAGATATCAAGGAAAAAGACAAGTGACAGAGTGAAAGAAAAGGGACTACGGGTAGAATGGGAAAATCTTGTAGA